TGTTATTTGATTTTAAATATTTTGGTGTGGATTTTCTACAAGTTGTCGACGTCGTCTATTGAATTGTTCATGTTTTCCTGCAGGTGGTTGTCTTCCTGTCATTGCATTAATAATATCTACATGTACGTTATTTTCTTCTCTAATTAATTTGTCTAAGAATGTCCATAAAGTCGGATGACAACATTGAAAAGCACAATTTAATTTTCGATGCCATCCTTCCACGTGGTTGTTAGTACGATGTGTATCAAGTTTTACGCGAGCTACCATGTTCCAAAATTCAATCGGATAAGATGGTTGTCGTCTTGTGCGACCACGTATTCGTCCGATATAATTGTCTTCTATATAATCTAATATCTGTTGATAATCATCATCAAGCTTGGAACATAGCAATTCAAAACCATCGATAACCATAGTTGGTTCAATAAATGCTAACGCTAAAATTTTGTGTACGTTATCAGCAAATGCTACATCTGTTTCATAAGTTTGCTTAAAACCATGTGTCTAAAATTATAATATTATGGATTCAAATAATAAAAACTGTAATTATGAGAATAATTTACTTGTAAAAAACGAAGAACATTTTGACAGAAGTGGAAGTAGCAACCACTTAGTTCAACTGCTGGAAATGTACGTTCGAAAACGTTTTGTGTAGCTTTTTCGAAATCCATCATAATTCGATGTGGTTGCCATGCTGGAATCAACTGGATAATTTCATCTACCATTTTTTGATAAAGTTCTTCCTTTTTGGATGGTAAAAGAAGAAATGCTACTGGTATAACATGGTCACGATAACTTGCATGTATAGCAAATAGTTGAAAAAAAATTTCCGGCACAACTTTAAAGGTTCCGTCAATAAAAAATTCCTAAAAAAAAATATCTAATTAGTTGAAAGTAAAACTTTAAGAACTTACTGTGGCGTTTTCCAAAATGGTTTGTTGTTCATCGGTAAAAAAGAGTAAGAATCGATTTGAACCTGGTCCAGTATCTTTTTGAAAAAAAGAAGTATTACGTGTTGTATAGTGATATTTTGCTGGAACAACAGGAAAGTCAATATTTGTCGGTGTTGGTTCAGTAGTATGCTCTTGACGCCAACGACGAATATTTCGTTTTAAATTATGATTACTTGGTAAGCAAAGAAGCACCTCATCTGGTACGCCGATATTTGTCTGTGTTAAAACATTATGTGGATTCGTTTGATTTTGTTCAGATTCCCGTCGTAGTTGTTCATAATATTTACGAGTTGCTTCACATCGAGAATTACCAATATGGTTTTTGTGTTGGCCAACTGTTTTAATGAATTCATAGTTTAATTTTGTATGCAATCGTCCATGACAGGCATATTTTTTCGCATAACTACATTTCCATAGAATCTTTATTTCAGTTTTTCGATCAATTGTATACGAATAACCATTGTGTATTAATAAAGGTTCGTTTTTAGCGGTTTTTGTTACAGTAACTGGCATTATTTTTTTTCGTGAATGATTCTCTTAACATGTGCGACTTATATATATATATATACTCTATTCAATTTAGCTTATATTATATTCAAATTATGAATCAAAGAAATGTCATAACAATTATGCCAATTTGTTTATGTCGATGATCATTCTTCAATCGAATATTAATTTGCTTTATTAGTGTCTGTTTCGTTATTTTATTCACATTTCCTGTAATAGCTTTCACAGCGAGTAAGTGTCCGAGTGAGCAACTGTCCTAACGATCAAATGTCCTAACGAGCAATAGTCCTAGCGCGTAAGTGTCCGAGCGCAACTGTCCGCGCGCAACTGTCCATGCGAGCAACTGTCCGTTTCCCATTAAAATAGATGGATCATTTTTATGTATAAATTCAATTTGAATTAAAGCAGGTTCAGAACGTTTTGGTGGAGATTGTAATTGATCTTCTGTATCTAATGTATAATGTGTTACTTCCATTGCATAATCGATTAAATCATTTAAAATATCATTTGGAGCTTCACGATTAATATAATAATACCTATACGTAGATGATGATATTTCAAATAAACTACATTTACCTTCGTGACAAAGCTTCTTGTATCGTTCATTTTCAGTAACTTTTTTTGGTTGATATTTGTTGGTTAATCGATCTAGTTTTTCTAATTCTGAAACATAAAATGATTGATTCGAATAATGTGATGATGAATATTGATTGTAATTCTTTCGGATTGAATAAGTAAATTGTGACATTGTTGTAAATATGTATGTAAATAAATTCAATAATGATGAATACGACTAGTTTGTGAAAATGTAAATGACTAGAATAAATATCTAGAACAAAAAAACAAACAAACAAATAAGACCAGGACTTTTATCAAGTCCTCTTGTCATTATATTGTATTTCCATGAACCTGTATGAGGTTTATTTTAATCATTTAATGAGTAATCATTAGCGTTTCCATTGTAGTCATAGTCTACCATATAATTGCATTATCATTAAATCTTTGTTTTGTTTTTTTGTGTTTCGTGGTAACGACGTAATAGGCGTGTATTCATAGTGCTGTATGTATATATAACGAAAGAAAAGGAAATGAACTCTAGTAAGAACGAAACATAGATAAGGTATTGGCCTTTAATATATATGTGTAGAAGGAATGCGAAGAACAGGAAAATCATATAGTGTGAAGAAGTGAAAGAGAACAGAAATAAATAGTAAACAAAGTGGAACATGTGTTGAATAATGTAGAGGATAATAAACAATGTATATTGCATATTGTGTTAAATCATTTGCGTTTAATTTATATTTTTCGTTCACATAAGGGTCTGATGACATCTGTCGTAACTTGTCGTACTAATGTGAGTTTTCTTATGTGTTGAACAATAAATGTTTTTATGCCGAGCTGTTGTACTATTCGAAAAGGTCCTTCATATTTAATGTCGAACTTGTTTCGTCGGTTTAATGCCTGAATTAGAACTAAGTCATTGATTTTATATATCGGATTTGATCGATAACGATCATATCTTGCTTTATATTTTTCTTGTTGTTGACGAATATTATTCATGGCTTGCTCAGTTACTGTCGATAGATATTGTTTTAATTTCTGGATGTATTCTGAATCTTGTGAGAGTGTGACGATGGGTTGTTGTTGATCGAATGGTAATACCGGTAAACGACCGTACATCATTTCGAATGGTATTTGTCCGGTTGTTGTGTGGATACTAATGTTGTAATTGAAAGTAACGAATGGTAATTGTTCATCCCAATTAGTTCGATTTTCATTTGATAAAGCAGCTATTTTGGCATCCATGGTTGCATTATAACGTTCAATTTGTCATTTGTCATCGGATGATAAGGTGTAGAATATAAATGTGTAACACCAATTATTTTAAATAATTCTGACATCATTGAGGCATTAAAGTGAGTTCCATTATCTGTAAGAATGCATTTCGGAGTTCCATATTTAAGAATAACTTCTTCAGTAAGGAAGTGTGCTGCTGTTGATGCAGTGGAATCACGTACTGCTTTCGTAATGACAAATTTTGATAGAACGTCAGTCAATGAGAAAATATATTTATTTCCATTTCTTGTTGTTGGAGTGATCGGTCCATGAAAATCCATTGTAAGTAACTGCCACACTCCATCAGGGGGTTTGATGGGTTTTAATGCACCCGGTGATTTTTGTCGTAGATGGTTATTTTGTAAACAAGGTATGCATGACTTTATATAATTTTTAATGTCATTAATCATGTTTGGCCAAAAGTATCGTTGTTGGATCTTTTGAATGGTTCTATTACGACCAAAATGTGCTCCATTTGCGGGTGTATCATGGTAGATTTTGATTATGTCGCAGCGTATTCTCCCCTTAGGTACAAACGGTACTGGTGGGGACGATTTCTTCATCAACATATCATCTTGAATAAAATATTCATTAAAATTTTTAATGCTCATTATTATGTATTTCGTCTGTTCATCTTGATGTTGTAATTCTTTTAATTGTTCCAATGTAAATGGAATAATCCTATTGGAATAATTATCAATATTTGTTGTATGTGGTTGTTTAGATTGTGTTACACAGGAATGATCAACCTGTATGTTGTCATCCCTCTTCTGTTGCTATTCATCACAGGAACGATCGACTTGTATGTCGTCATTCCTCTTCCGTTGCTGTTCATCACAAGTTTGATCTGTCGGATTACAATCAATATTTTTGTTAAATTGCTGTTTTGCTTGTGCTCTTGTAATGACGGGTGCAACAATATGTGCTGTTATTGGATTATCAGTTTGTGTTGATCGAGATTTTGTTGGAGTATAATCATCTTCATCATTTGATTCATTATCGACTGGTGAGCGTGATAAATAATCAGCTACTGTATTATGCTTTCCTCTAATATATCGAATAGTAAATTGGTATTGTTGTAATTTCAAACGCCATCGTTCGCATTTCGAATTTAATTGTTGTTTTAAATTAAATGGTAATAATGGTTTATGATCTGTTTCAATAACAAATGGACGTCCATCTAAATATTTGTGCCATTTTTCAATTGCATATATAATAGCATAACATTCTTGTTCGGTTGCAGGCCAATTCATTTGTGTTGTTGTAAGTTTCTTCGATAAATATGCAACTGGTAAATCTCCATTTGGATGGGTCTGCATAAGAACAGCTCCTATTCCAATTTTTGATGCATCAGTTTGAATTTTAAATGATAGATGTTCATCTGGAATGCGTAATACTAAATCATTTGTTAATATTCGTTTTAATTCATTAAATGCATTAAGTTCTTCATCGGATAAAATGATAGGTGTAGATTGTGATTTTTGCGATCGTTGTTCTTTGGTGGTGGGTGCATATTTATGTAATGGTTGAGCGATGGTTGAAAATCTTGGTATAAATTTGCGATAATATTCTGCTGCTTTGACAAACCGAAAAGCTTCTTTTGCTGTTGTTGGTTTTTGAGTTTCTAATAATGCACGAATATTATCTGCATTTGGTCTGATATTACGATGTTCAATGTGATGACCAAGATAATCAATCGATGCTTTTGCAATATGACATTTGTCAACATTAAGACGAAAATTTGCCACATTTAACCGATTGAGAATATCATCAAGATGAATTAAATGTTGGTCGAAGGTTGATGAATATATAATGACATCATCGAGATAAGCTAATGAATATTTCCTATACCTCGAATTGATGACATTTTTGATCAGTTATCACAAGCTGAATATTATAGCACAATTGACTTTAAATCTGGCTACTTNTCATTTGTTTTAATGTTGTTGATACTGCATTTGCGAAATATGGCATGTAAGATGTTGTTTCAGGTTTTAAAACATTTTCTTCTAGTAGTTCTTGTTCATCTTTTGCAATTTTTAAAAATGCTTGTGTTGTTCGAGCTGATTCAGATAACAGCTTCATTTGTCGTTTAATTTGAATCTTTAATGAATCTTTAATTCCATTCTCCAACCATGAGATTATCATTTTTTGCGACATAGATGGATCATATTCATGACATAATTTAATGATGGCATCATAATAAGACGTAATGGTTTCATCCGATTTTTGTCTACGTTCTTTTAATTGTTCGAATATTTTTGATGATGAATCAGATGTTGTGAATCGTTCAAGTAATGCCAATTTTAATCCTTCCCATTGGGTTAATGACATATTATTTTCGTACCAACATTTTGCTTCACCATCTAATTTTGCCGTACACATGCAATATAATATATTATCATTTGCCTCGATCATCTTCCCAATTCTTTCAATATTTTTAATAAATTGTGAAATTTTTGTTCTTCACCACCGTTGAACTTCTCCAGGTTCGATAAGCATTCACGATAACATATCATCATCGCTGAATCTTGTGCAGTGTGAGGCATTGTTTGAATCTGTTCAATAGTATTATTAAATGACTCCAGAGTTAATCTTTTTACTGTGCGTTCAGATGTTTTTGTTAATAAATTTCGAGTAAATTCTGGATCGATACCAGTACTTCGAAGATTATAAGCCGTTATTTTAATATCAATAATAAAATTGTGCTAATATAATGTTGAATTTTATTGATAACGTTGTATATATAATAATGATCGAGTTAACCTTTTGTTTTGTTTTTATTTTATTTATTTATGTATCTTCTATCTCTCTCAGACAATCCCTAATGGAACTATCTCTTTAATTTAATTGAGATTTTGCAGGCAGTTTCCAATGGAGCCACCTCTAAATTAAATGAATAGAAAAAATGTAATCACTTACCGATATGCATATATATGTATATATATATTTTTTTTAATTCCGATGATATATGAAAAAAAGTTATGTTGGTTCGTGTTTAATTATTAATAAATAATAAACAGTCGGTCACGGCACCAATATTAGGGGTTTGAATTTGAGAGAGGATATATATGTCCTTGATGTTAAACCTTTATTTCATAAAGAGAAAAAGTCCTCGATATAACCTATATCAAGTCCATATATATATATCACTACTTCAGATAGATGTAGAATAGAAGAAAAGTAGAACAACGAAAATGTAGATGAAGGAAAACAAAGATATATGAAAAGAAAGAAAAGAAAAGAAAAGAAAGATGTGAGGGCATCGGCCCGTAACAGTCGACCCCCAAAGAAAAAAATGTGTGTCCGCACACGTGTTTGAAAGAAAAATAAACAAATAGCCATATAAATATGTACTATAATAGTTAGAAATGAAAGATAATAATAATGTAAAAACGAGAGAAAAGAAACACCACACATGAAAAAAACGAATGTCTCGCAAGACGATCTGACAAAATAAACAAAACAAAAAAAAACGAAAGCAATGTGCATGTTTATGTAACTTATATAGTCTAAGTTAAAAATTTAGTCTTCTTTTTTTTATTGTTTATCAAGATGCAGTTGTTTTCGTATTCGATGGTAATGTTCTTCCGTGAATATACCACTATGTAATGCTTCATCAGCCATTTTTCGAATCGATTCGTTCTTCACACCTAAAAATAATGTTGTTCCGACGACGTTTATGTTAACATATGGGATATTCATAAATATTAAAATTTTCTTGATGTTTCTAATTGTAAATTTATAATAAATATGTCGAATCACTTCAAATTGATATCTTCGACTTCGTTTCTTTCTATTTTTTCTTTGGTTTCTTGTTAATGATTGATGTTGTTGATGTTGTTGAGATTCAGAGGGTCTTGTTATTGTACATCGTTCAATATCATCATCTGAAATTATTTCAATTTCATTTAAAACTTTACCTGTATCATGAACCCTTTCTTGAGGTTCATCTGAATGATGTTGTTTCAACGGTAATTGTAATTTCATAATTTCTGGTAACGAAATATCATCGATATCATTATCACTTATCATTTCATAAGGTTCATCTCGTACATGAACCCCGGTTAATGAATTTTGGTTTTGTTCATCAGAAATATCATGATCATTTAGTGTTGATTCATCATTCGGTGCATTAATTTCAACATGATAACAAATTTCATCAGATGAAGATATATCATCATATTCTTCTTCGAAATAATTAAATGTAAATATATCATTGGTTGTTGTTGTTGATGTTGAAGATCTTGTTGGTGATGGTAATTCATGCACTAATTTCGTAACACTAAGACAATCATTTAATGCATAATTAATTAATAATTGTCTTATTTGTTTTTCATCTTGAATGACTTGTTCTTGCATATGTATATATTGTCTTGGTACAGTTATTGTATGTAAGTCGAGATCAAGACCACAACTGAAATTTCCAAGCGTATAACGTTTGGTCAACCATTCATTGAACGTGTTGAGGATTGCAAATTGGAGTGAATAAGTTTCATTTGATTTTAATTTAATATCTGGTGATGTTGAATAAGTTGTATTGAAATATTTCTTAAATTCACCTTGTATATTTCTTTCATGAACATGATTTATATCATTTTCATCGAATAAATTGTATCGATAAAAATCTTCAAGTTCATCAACGAGGTTTCCCCATGAATAGATTATATGTCCCATTGAAAAGATAATTTTACATAATTGTTTAATTTTTATAAAAGTTGGTTCATTTTGTTCAGGTAAATACATACATTCAATAAGTAATAGAATTGATGGATTATCTTCATAAACATATTCAATTTGTATTAATGCTGGTATTGATGGTCTTTTTGGTACTAATTGAGCTTCAGTATCAATTGTATAACATTTTACCACTTCAGCATAATCAATTAAGTCATCGATTAAATCAATGGGTGTATTTTTGTGAATATGATAATATCTATAAGAAGATAATGGTCGAAAAAGATCACATTTACCTTGTTCATAGAGTTGGTTTAATCGATTTTCTTCTTCCACTCGTCTAGGTTGCCAATTTTTTGTTCGTTCGTCCAATTTTTCTAATGATGAAATATATTTTGGTCGATTTTGATGATGGGATGATGACTTTGGATCTCTTGTTGTTGATGTTGCACAGATAATTTTCGACATTTGTATATAATGACAAAAAAAAAAAATTTACAACGAGTAATTGAAATTATATGATGAAGTATCTGAAACAAAAAACATATGACCAGGATTTTCAAAGAAAATTCCTTTCATCGTCTTGTTCCGCTCGCATGAACCCAGGTGAGGTTCATGTACATATTGTCATCACAGGAAAATCGTATGTCTGTAACAGGTAATTATCATATTGTCATAGTAATCATTATGTATCATCTAATATCGTCAGGATTAGGTTGTGACTTGATGGTGACCATAGTGGCAGGCATAAATTGATCCGTACATAACTTTTTAATATACTATCCATATAATCACGAGTTATAGGAGGAAGGAAAGAGAAAATAGTGAATGTATATTACGATGGATTCGGCGGATACGTGAAAGAAAGAAAAAGAATGAACTCTAGTTAAGGACAAATTATAAGATATATCTGTGTTATGTATAGATGATATGGAATGATTTAAATTATCAGAAAAGAAACGTAGCGTGACGACAGGAAAGAAAGAAAGGAAAAGAAAAGAGAGAAGAAGAGAAAAAAAATAGTATTAATGCAAATAACGACATGTGCTAAGTAACGTACAGCAATAAATAATGTATATGTTATATCCTATTAAATAATTTACGATTCAGTATTGTTTCTACGTTCACATATTGGACGAATAACATCTGTCGTAACTTGTCGTACTAATGTAGAATTTTTTATATGTTTAACAATAAATGTTTTTCCACCAAGTTGTTGTACTATACGAAACGGTCCTTCATATCTAATATCGAATTTGTTTCGTCGATTTAATGCTTGAATTAAAACTAAATCATTAAGTTTATATATTGGGTTTGTTCGATGACGGTCATAATGTTCTTTGTATCTCTTCTGTTGTTGTAATATATTTGATGTTGTTTGTTCGGTCAATGATGATAAATATTTTTTTAATTTATTAACGTGTTCTGGATCTTGTGAAAGAGTAACAATAGGTTGTTGATGATCAAATGGTAATACGGGTAAACGACCATACATAAATTCAAACGGAATAATTCCAGTTGTTGCGTGAATACTTGTGTTGTAGTTGAATGTAACATATGATAATTGTTCATCCCAATTTGTTCTATTTTCATTTGATAATGTTGCTATTTTTGAATCCATCGTTGCATTGTAACGTTCAACTTGTCCATTTGTCATCGGATGATAGGGTGTTGAATATAAATGGGTGACACCTAATTTTTTAAATAATTCTGTCATCATTGAAGCCGTAAAGTGGGTTCCATTATCTGTAAGAATACATTTTGGAGTCCCATATTTGAGAATAACTTCTTCAATAAGGAAATGTGCTGCTGTTATTGCGGTGCAATCCCGTACTGCTTTAGTAATAACGAATTTGGATAAAACATCAGTTAATGCAATGATATATTTATTACCATTTCTTGATGTTGGTGTGATCGGTCCATGAAAATCCATTGTAAGTAATTGCCATATTCCTTCAGGAGGTTTGATTGGTTGTAGAGCACCTGGTGGTTTTTGTCGTAACTGATTGTTTTGTAAACATGGTATACATGATTTAATATAATTCTTTATATCATGGATCATCGATGGCCAAAAGTATCTTTGTCGAATCTTCTGAATGGTTCTATTGCGACCAAAATGTGCTCCGTTGGCGGGTGTATCATGATAAATTTTCATTATATCGAATCGAATTCGTCCCTTAGGTACGAATGGTACTGGTGGAGACGAGTTTTTCATTAACATATCATCTTCCACGTGATATCCATTGAAATTATGTATATGCGATATCATGTATTTTGTTTCCTCATCTTGATGTTGTAATTCTTTTAATCGTTCATATGTAAATGGCATGATTCGATCGTCAATAGCATTCCCATGTTGTTGTTGATCTTCCTGACCACAGGAACGGTCGATTGAAGAATCGACATTCCTTTTCGGCTGTTCTTTATCACAGGGTTGATCGATCATATGATCGTCATTCCTCTTATTATGTAGTTGTTGTTTCGCTTGTGCCCGAGTAACTACAGATGCTGTAATAGCTGTTATCATCGAATTTTCGGTTTGTGTTGATTGAGATTTTATTGGAACATAATCATCTTCATCATAAGATGCGTTATCTAATGGTGAACGTGATAAATAATCTGCTACGGTATTGTGTTTTCCTTTGATATAACGAATCATAAATTTATACTGTTGTAATTTCAAACGCCATCGTTCACATTTCGAATTTAATTGTTGTTTTGTATTAAATGGTACTAAAGGTTTATGATCTGTTTCAATTATAAATTCACGTCCATCTAAATATTTATGCCATTTCTCAATCGCATATATAATTGCATAACATTCTTGTTCGGTTGCAGGCCAATTCATTTGTGTTGTTGTAAATTTCTTCGATAGATATGCAACCGGTAAATCACCATTTGGATGAGTTTGCATAAGTACAGCTCCTATACCGATCTTTGATGCATCTGTTTGAATTTTAAATGGTAAATGTGCATCTGGAATACGTAAAACTAAATCATTAGTTAATATTTGTTTTAATTTATTAAACGCATTAAGTTCTTCATCAGATAATATAATAGATGCAGATTGTGATTTTTGTGATCGTTGATCTTTAGTGGTGGGTGCATATTTATATAATGGTTGAGCAATGATAGAGAAATTCAGTATAAACTTGCGATAATATTCTGCCGCTTTGACGAATCGAAAAGCTTCTCTTGGTGTTGTTGGTTGTGCTGTTTCTAATAATGTACGAATGTTGTCTGCATTGGGTCTAATATTTCTATGTTCAATATGATGGCCCAGATAATCGATTGACGTTCTTGCTATCTGGCATTTTTCCACATTGAGACGAAAGTTTGCGTCATGTAATCTATTCAGAATATCATCGAGATGGATTAAATGTTGTGCGAAACTTGATGAATATATAATAACATCATCAAGATAAGCTAATGAATATTGCCATCTTGTAGGTCCAAGTATTTGACTAACAATTCGTTGAAATGCTGGTGGGCCATTAGTAACACCTTGAGGTAGTACTGTAAATTGATAATGCTGGTCTCTTGTTGAAAATGCTGTTTTTGGACGATCTTTTAGATCCAGTCCAACTTGAAAATAACCCGATTTAAAATCAATTGTAGTATAATATTCGGCTTGTGATAGATGATCGAAAATATCATCGATTCGAGGTATTGGAAATGCATCCTTTGTGGTGATGTTGTTTAGTTTTCTGAAATCGACGCAAAATCGAACCGATCCATCTTTCTTTCGTACCAACACTATTGGTGACGACCATGGTGATGTAGATTCTTCAATAATTCCTTGTTTTAATAATTTATCGATTTCTTCACGTTGTATTTGTTCATCTTTGTATGAAACACGATATGGTGGAGTATGAGTTGGTGGATGTGTTCCGGTTTCAATAGCATGATGCACTGTTGCTTTAATGATGGAGGGTTGACGAAGATCAAATAATTTTCCATATTTCCATAAAATATGTTGTAATTGTTGCCTTTGATTTAAATTGTCAATATGTGATGTTAATTTTTCAATTTTGTCTCTTATATCTTGTGGGTAACATTTTTGACGTAGGTGTTGTTGTAAGTCATTGCCGGATAGAAATTGTTCTTTGCAAACATAACATTGATGTTGTTCTTCGTCAAGACATTCTTTTTTACAGGTAAAGTCCGTAGATTGGACCTTCCTTTTATCTCGAAATGATCTATCACAGGAACCACTCTGATGAGTGTTGTTCCTCTTATAGTTAGATGATCTTAGACGTGTTGATGCGTAATTCTTGTCTTCGGATAAAATTGGTAAAATAAGATAATTATCTGGTTCAGTCCGGTGTAAAATAGACCCCAGTTTGGTATTTTTTGAAAGTGTTCTTTGACGATCATTGGCATTAATAATCATGAGTTTGCTTTTGCTATTGTCTATTCGAATTAATGCATTTGTTAACAATATTTGTTTCGAGTATAAATTCAAAGCTGGTTCGAATAAAGCTTCAGTTATACCGTTTATTTGTGATGGAACTGTCACATCAATGTATCTTTCTGAATATGGTGGTAAAGTAATTTCATTGATTAGTAATATCGGCAGTTGAACATCAGATGGTTTAATAAATGGTGTTGTTGTTATGATTCGATGATGTTTGTCGGTAAGAAAAATACGTTGTTGTGGTGAATGAATAATTACGTTATTTTCAGTAATCCAATCATTTCCCAATAATAAATCAGTTACAAGATTTGTTGCAACGTCCGCTAAGATTAACGTTTTGTGTTGCTGTATTTTGACTTCCAGTTCGATTTCTCCAATGATGTTGATTGCTGTACAATTTGCTGACTTATGTGATTTCTTTCTATAGATAAATTCCTTGTGATAAATTTTCTTCAATAATTGTTGATTAATAATGGTGACTGCAGATCCAGTGTCAATAATAGCGTGCTGGTGTTTGTTGTTAACTTGTACTTTGATGTAAATGGGATTTGATGATTGTGGTGACATAATATTAGTTGTTGATGGATTTTGTTTGGTATTACTGGAATTACCACCATCAAGGGTTCCAGCTAGTAGAAAACCTTCGGACAATCACGTATGTAATGATCGGATTGTCCACATTTATAACATCCGTTTGGTTTTTTATAATAACAATCTATCGTGCGATGATTGTTTCGTTTGCATATAGAACAAGAATTCAGTTGTCGTCTGTCAGTTGTCGACGGATTAATTGATTCAGCATTTTTCGATGAAATATTTTGTGTGTTATGACGAAATGTTGACGATTGTGGTGTATAAGTAAATGAACGCTGTTGTGGTGGTGAATAGTGAGTTGCTGGTGGCGATCGTTTTGATGCAATCTTGTTTTTCTGTTGTTGGTGAATACTTTCAGGTTCATATGTTGTAATCGTTCGTGGAAAATATGAATGCTTCGATACATTTGAAGGTGTATCATTCATTTGTTTTAATGTTGTTGATACTGCATTTGCGAAATATGGCATGTAAGATGTTGTTTCAGGTTTTAAAACATTTTCTTCTAGTAGTTCTTGTTCATCTTTTGCAATTTTTAAAAATGCTTGTGTTGTTCGAGCTGATTCAGATAACAGCTTCATTTGTCGTTTAATTTGAATCTTTAATGAATCTTTAATTCCATTCTCCAACCATGAGATTATCATT